GTGGGGGTGGAGTCCCAGGTCAGAACTGAGATCTCATGTGGCAGGGTTTCAGGGGCACGAGTGCAATGAGGCTTAGCACGAGTTACTTTCGGTCTGCGGGCGTTCTATGTCGTGCAGCATAAGGCAGATGGCATGCGCGATGCATTCAAGGCCGTCCGATTCGTCTGTTTTGGGGGCGGCAGTTCGGGGAGAGGTCCCCCCGGAATGGCTGTGATTCTGATGGGTCGAGCCTTTGGGGGCAGCCACGTGGCTTCTGTCGTCGCGCGTTTAGGTTAGGCCTCCTGTTTTCAGGGCCTCGTCGGTTGCCACGTTGCCGACAATTTCCGCAGGGCGTGCGGGGCCAGTACTCGGCGATGGAATTCCACGGGACAACTGTGAGCTGGTGATACGGAAGAAGGAGGCGGAAGGGAGGGAAGTTGGTAGCGATAACGACGAAGCCGGGGGATATGCAGTAGTGCGAGTTATCCGAAGTGGGGTAATCGGGACACCTTGGATCGCTGGTGGGGGCACAGTGGAACTCCCTGGGGCACAATCGATTCTCGGTTAGGCAGGGGAATTCCGGGCGTCTCTGTCTGAGACACTCTCTCACCCAAGGGTCGAAATACTCTGGGTCCCACAACGAATCTGAGTCCCCTGTGTTCGTCATCTTGTCATCGCGGTGTGATGGAATTCTCCCGCACGCATTTAACCGACAAGGGGGATTTTCCGATGTGATATCGGAATTCCCTTCCGTTTGGGTGCGTAGGGGAAGAATTCTCCCCGCCTACCCAATATCGACGGTGTCAAGTCGCGAATGGTTACGAAGCAGCGCGCGTGGATACGTGTAGGCCGCGCAGATCAGATCGCGCTTACACTCATCCCCGCGAGGTATTGGCTTATTTCTGGACAAACCACCATCCAATCATCTAATCGCTCCGTGATCCCGTACGCCATCGTACCTGAGCGTGCAAGACGCAGTAACAACAGTAGCTCAAAGAGTGGATAAACAGCAAGGGAAACAGTATTGATGACTACGCAAAATTCCTACTATGCTCATGAGGGTATCAAAACGACAAGCAAAACGACAAGCAAAGGCAAGGATCAGGCAAAATGACACGCAGTCCGACATGACATTCATTCATTCATTCATTCGACCAAACACGAAACAAACGAAATCGAGATCAGTCGCAAAACGAGTGTGGGCGGAAACCAAGCCAAGATTCTGAGAACAAAAACGGGCGAATCGCCCTGAGCCGAGATCAAAATTTATATACAAAAGCAAAGAGGGAGAAAAGACAAAGAAAAC